AACGTATCCAGATAAATTCTCTCTCATGTTTAATATATATCTCTTTCCACCTTTGCCGGGAGGCATATTGATGAGATCCAGATGAACTCTGCTACCTGGCTCGACCAGGATAGTGGGAAATAAAGGTTCAATCATTCTTGTGGTAAATCTTTTCTGACATAAGACACATAATTTACAGTATTTGAAAATCATGTCTCTCATGTCAGGCCAGAAGTAGAGTTTGACAGTCTTGGAGTAGGTTGCCTCAGTAACCCTGTGACCACCAGCAACCCCCTCATGCAGGGCAGCAATTATCTCTAACAGCCTCTCTTTACCACAGACCACTCCTAGTGCAGGTAGACCTCCCTACCATCCACAAACAGATGTTCTCTCCTTAGTTTGAATTTCTTCCTTAAATTTTTACAATAATACTCTTTTAGCTGCTCCTTTTCCATCCTTTTCCCAATTTAGCCCGCCCCCTGGTTTTCAAAAACAAAACCAGTGGTTAGCATATGCTACATCAGCACGTTCAACAACATTAGATGCAATCTTTTTGTCAAGATACTTTACAACTTCTGCCTCTTCCTTCAAGGCATATTTTGTTCGCCTATCATTTCATGGAACGTGATTAACTGTCCAAATCTTGACCATCTTGATCATGTCTACGTCTAATCGCCCTCTCTCTTCATCATTCAAGGAGAAAGCACCAGAGAATTCCTAACACATACTGAAGATATATTATTTCTCTTTAGGAAGGATAAACTGATCCGAGCCTATCTTCAGTATTTCAAACCTCTTTTTGGTGACCCTATTCTCCAGTTTTGCTGATTCTCTTAATGTTTTTATAATCCTCCTCTCCTTTTCCGATGCTTCATCATAATCTTTCTCTATTAGGATTGTCACCGGGTTTTTCTTTACCCCCTAGGGCTTGTATTTTCTTTTCACGGGTCGGCACCGGTCGGGAGAAGTACTGCTGGAGAAAGTCTCGAAACTCCGGGTAAGACATGCTCTGCTGTACACCCCGCTGAGCACGAAGGGCGAGGAAATCGCGCCAGGTGGAGGCCGCGCGACCTGTAAAGCGAGATGACATCTCAACAGGCCATAGGTCCATGTGGACACCATGGTACCGGAGCTGCTCCTCAGAGGTCGTGATCCATAGCTGTAGCTCGGAGGCCTTGCCATCGAACGTAGGAAGGCGGTCCGGTCGAAATTGCGGGACATAGTGCGGGGGCTGGTAGTGGGGGGGAAGTGGGAGTGCCGACTGTGACAAGAGGACAGGAGCCGTAGTAGTAGAAGTCTGGGAACTAGAAAGAACGGGGAATGAGTCGAGGCCGACGTGGTGGTCCGTCGGAGGACGTTCGTCCTCCCCGTCCTTTCCACAAGTGGGAGTGGGTACAACCTCTCCCTCCTCTAGAACGCCGTCACTCGTGTGAGGAGGCGGCTCACGTTGTGCCTCGCCGTCCTCCAAACCCACTCCTGTGGAGTGGACTGGGGCGCCTGCTGGAGTGCACCGAGTCTGCGCCTGGCGGAGTGGACCGGGTCCTCCGAACTCCGTCTCCTCCTCTGTGCCAACAACCGGCGCTGGCGACCGGGGATGAGTGATCCTGAACCCTATATCCTCCTCCGTCACTATCACATCAGTGTTTGAGGCTAGCTCCTCTGCATGAACCGGGTCGCGCTGCGTCTCGTTGGAAGGATCTCCCATCTCGTCCTCTGAAACGGCAACCGGGTCCTGCCGCATGTCACGTGCCCCTGTGTCGATCGCAATGTGGACACGAGGTCTGCGTACACGAGACGCAATACTGTCATCCCGCCTACCCCCGTGTCTCAACCGCTTCAAAACGTAGCGACCACGAGGCATAAAATTGCCGTCCACACGCTCGTCAACCCTATCGCCACGGCACCCGCTCCGTCTACCATCACCCCCCCCCCCCCCCCC